GCGGTCCATTCAATCCAACTTGGTGTTCCAAGGTCATTGTGAGTCGGAGGCATACAACCACGAGGCTTTAATTCAAATAAATGGGAGGACCGGCATTTTCACTGCAAGGCCTCTTTGGTGCGAATGCAGCCTAGCCTTGGTCCACTGCAGAAGAGAGCAAGCAAGAGACACAATTTCCGGTCGAGTCACCTTCCCAATACTCACAACTGCTGCCCTCATGTGTTGCTCTCTCTGCCAAACTTTCACATCACTGCTGCATCGTCCTCCACAAACCTTTTTGAACGTTTACTATTGTGGAAGATTTCTATGTTAATCCGGAGAAGAGAGTTTTGTTCACAAATCAATAATGAAGTCTTCAGCAGATTCAAAGTTGTCTTTTTCCATTTATTCTCTTGCAAGAGGGAAGAAAGCACAACAGCTTGAAATATGTAACACACAAGCGCCTTTGTTTATACAGCAACAAGTTATTTCTCAAAAGTGCAGCACCCACGAGGGCTTGTCTGCTGCCCTCGTCCAGCTGATTTTTCACAGCTTCGATACATTCGATACATACATAATACATACATTCGATACATACATAACATGAGGTGTTTCAACCACCAGTTCTGATTACTGCTTGGTCTGCACTTTCTTTACTGCATGTAAGGAACAAGTTGTTCTTGCCACTTTGCAAGTAGTTTTGTTACTTTTCCAGTAGCCATTTTCCTTAATAGATGACACGTAAGTTCAAATGCATATTTTTACCATGACATTACCATTTCTTCCTGGATAATGAAAAGGGGTTTTGGAGGAGCCAGAGTTGGAGGAAAGCTGATAAATGTCACGAGGTTGATGGCTAATTTGCGGACTGAGCAGCAGGGGTCTGGAGAAACGAAGCAGTGAAAATGGCATTCTGTTGCGGACTGAGACACTCAGCTGTAGTGACAGCTACCACAGGCTGCCTGATGCAGGTGTCTGAACCTAAATAACTCCTTTGAGTCACATCTTCGCCTCCGCAGCTCGGCCATGTCAGAGTTGAAGCGGTGCTGCAAATTAACAGATGGAAAGTTTTCTCCTGGCTCTGTGAATGTCGTATGTGTGATTAGGACTGTCAGTACGACTATTTTTGGCGGACAACTTCAGGAAAGAAGTCATCACCTTTGTGCTGGTGATGGTTTTGCTCTTATGTGACTTTGACTCGGAGCACAGACCCATTGAGCTGCCACCTAAATGTTTCCTGGAGTGAAACATTCACATTATGTGTTTGATGAAACGCTGCCCTCGCACTGACAAAGTGTTCTTTTTCTTTCTCTATAGGCACTTTTCTTTTGAAATGCAGAGCACTTTTACGGCAGCAAATGGGGGTGCATTGGTATATAAAGGTAAGTTAACAACAGGACATATTTTACAGCCAGTATAAGAAAAGAATCTCGCACACCTCGGGGCTTTGTGTTACATCTTATGTTGGAAAGTCTGCCATGGATGTAGCAATTAATGTGAAGGCGCAGGTGAATTCTGTCCAAAATGGAGGGCTTCCAGCTCTCGGAAGAAATACATCCGCAGCTCGTCTGCAAACGAGCCAGAACGATTGACAGTAGTGATGTAGGCGTACGGAGCCGGGGAGGGGACAGCCAAGTGTGTGCTGAAGTCCCTCCACAGGGAGTTCTGTGACCCAGAACTCCCTTCTGACACAATGCTAATGTGCTGTTATGGGTATTTTCAAAGCGTTGCTGCTATTTATTATGAATCAGCTTACCTGAGAGGCGCCGGTTAATCCTGTAGATCCCTGCACAGCTGCTGTGTGCCAAGAGGTCATGGAGATAGTGTTTAAATAGACTCTGCCTCCCTTATTATTCCAAGAGGAACATCTACAGACCTGTAACCAGCTGACAGATTCACTTCTTTCTCCCTTTTTCCTGCATATCTGCTAAGTGGCAGACAGGTAAAGATCACAGGATCAAGTAAGATGCCGTTCTCACGCAACTTTTGATTGTTTATTCATGTCTTGGAAGCACCAGGTATCTTTATAAACAGCTCGCAGCAGTTCGTCATCACCTGGAGGCTATCAAGAAGCCATCACCGAGAGCAGGTTGTGAATAGAGGACAGCGGAACATAATGAATATGGACGCCGTGTAATGGGAGAAGAAAACCAATCTCAAACGGCCTCCAGCTGTTTACTTTAAAAGACGTTAAGATATTGGAAAATGTACGTTGCTGTGAACATGTGTGCAACAGTCAGTAGAGAATAGTGAACTAAAACGATTTACCAAATGCGCCTCATGTTCCACGTCTTCATCCACCAGGAAGGGTGGGGAACCGGATACTTTGTGGCTGCACGTAAAATATTGAACTAAACCCAGCTCATCATTTCATCTTCCTTCTGTGGAGACATAAACAAATTGAATACAGACTACTTTGTCTGTATGTAAAGACGAGTCGAAAACAAATGCATCATTAAATATTAATGTTGTGATGATTGTCAATAAATGTAGGCTTTTATATTCAGAGATGCAAGCTGCTCCAGAAATACACCAGGCACTTGTTATTAGTGAGTTTGAGCTGATCAGCTCAGTACAGAACTATACGTTTACACTGTTTATGAGGTTAACCGCTCAGCAGCGTCTACCTGCGGTTCACAGCCATCACTTTGAGAGGGGAGCTACAACGCTAAAAGCTACTCGCTCAGCAACACTGATGATTCATCACCCTGAGTTTTGAGGGGTTTGTGTTAAAGACAATCACATTGTCTCATTCTTTCTTCTGTCATGAACTGCCGCCAGCCAGCGAGCTGGGATGGGATGGTTGAGCTTTAACTGCTCTGTCAAAACAGTTCAATCAGTCCTCTCCTCCAGTCCTGTTTGTTTGTGTGTTGGTAATTGTGGCATTGATTTGGAGCCAGTCTTCCTTCACTCTTGAATGTGTTTAGTGGCACTCTGCAGACAGCAGCTGCTGCTTTACCTCAACTTGCAAAGTAAAATGATTAACACACCCCACATTTCATGCCCACAGTATTCACATCATCCAGATTCACATCATCCATATACCTTTTCAGAGAGATATTGATCCATGTATTTGTTGACTTTTGAAGTATTGTGATGACTTCACAGTAAGAAAATTCCCACTACAGCGCTTCAGCTTCTCTACGCCTGCGAAAAGCAAATGGTGATGTTGAGGTGGAGGCTGCCTGTGAGAAAGCGAGGCAGCCTCTCTGTTTACATCTCTCATCCCAGACATGTGAAGACATTCCCCTCCTACCTCATCTCTGCTTTGACGTGCTTCATATCGGCTGCCGGATCACGTTCGGAGAGCCCAGTCAGTTTTAATCACACTCTGCTTTCACCGCTTCCAGCAGCCATCGCTGCAGCTGAGCAAAAACCAGGAGAAAGTGGAGGCGAGACGAATACCAAGTTGATGATTACACGCACTGACAGCTGATCCTGGATCCTGCACAGATAACGTTACAGAGAGAAAGATCAAAGCAAGGTGGTCAAGAGCTTAAAATTCGACTTTTTTTATCAACCCAAACTCTTAAAGTCTGTGCTTCTTAAATCCCTTTCTCACCACCAGATGGCATTTTGCAGTGACTCGACTAATTTGCACTCCTTGTGTTTTTAGAGGCAGAGCCAATGTCGCCTGTTTGTACAATTTATGTCTCAAATAATTGGTTGATAATTGTTGTCCTGTTTGCATGATTTGGAGCTAAATAGTCTGGTGTATTTAATTTGTGCTGCACTCAACCATTATGGCCCACATTTAAATTTATTAAGGCTCTACGAATAGACTCTTTTTAAACTTTTAAACTATACAGAATTTACTACAAATTTACAAATTTACCCTAGAAAATATTCCATTAAAATATGTAATTTCGACATTTCTTGAAGAGCCGTTGTGCCTCAGGAGAACCAAGGAATCCAGGTCTGCAGCCCTCTGTATATTTCACCCTGATGCCCCCCCCCCCCCCCCCCCCCCCCCCCCCCCCCCCCCCCCCC